TTTGCAGCGCAGTCGAAGCTGTCCTTGCAGACACCTCGGCTGTAAAGCGGACACATCAATGTTGTGCATGTTAGGGAGGGTTCACTGTATATTTTATAAGGTCCCGTCCTCAAGAATCCAGTTATTTAATTGTGTGAACGGAGCTTATATCAGTTTTTAAAGTAGAACTCAAGTGTTACCCTCTCCAAATAAAGTCTCCACTCCACTCCCTCTCTCTTGCAATGTGACTTTTGGTGAGTCGCGTTCAGTTCATAAGGATAGAAGTCATGCGTTTAGGAACAAACGATTGTCTGAATTAGAGTAGGCCTAACATTATATACCCTGATCGTATGTCACACTGCATGCAGTACGGGTAGGATTCAAAACAGCGACCTCGTGCAAATCAAATTGGTGCTCTACCGCCTAAGCTGTCGGGTTTGTTTAGTACCATAAATAAACTTTGCTACAAGGATTAAGTAGCCGCTCTGCATTCTACAGCTACATCTGTAGGTGTGCGTAAATAGCTCAGATTAAGATTACTCCAATGTGCTTAAATAAAAACGCATAGCCAAGACATCTGTACATTAGAGAAAAAAAAAACACACTTACGATCCTCAAAGGTTGTAGCATCTAATATTTCTGACGCATTCCCTCTCTCGCTTGTTTTTCCCCTGACCTTGATGTAATAGGTTGTAAATTTTTCTAAGCCAGTTAAGGTGTATTGAAATGTGCGGGCTGTAACTTCTTTCTCCGTGGGTTTTATATTTGAGCTTGTTCCATATTCAATCAAATAGTTTTGTATAACTCCATTTGGTTCTGCTGGTTCCCTCCACTCTACATAAATGGTGGTAGATGAGGAAGCTTCCACGAAAACACCTTGCGGACGACTTGGACCTAAAGTTTTAACTCTTCCGTGAGTAAAATTGTACTAACATTCCACTGCGTTCAGCTAGTTTTCTAACTGGTTGACGTACATGTACTGGCTTGTATGAGCAAATAAACACATTTCATAGGCAAAACTCAAGTCAATGAAATAAATACATCACAAAATCACCAAGAACGGTCCCTACATAATTATTTGTAATACAACTGAGGATTACGAAAACATCGTTGTGATGGATATTCGAATGGAAAAAATGTCGGACAAAATTTTCGTCCGACCATTTTGGGGTATTTACAATTTAGCTGATAGAAAAGCACCTATTCATGGGCTATTGACTCAGACCCCATTCGGGCTCGAGGAATAATTGTTAAATACACACAATTCATAGAAAAAACTCAAGTCAACGTGATAAACACAACACAAAAACACCTAGAACGGTTCCTAAATAATTATTTGCAATACAATTGCAGATTACGAAAACATCGTGTTGACAGATATTCGAATGGAAAAAATGTCGGATAAAATTTTCGTCCGAACGTTTTGGGGTATAGGTGATAGAGAAATTACAGCAAAACAAACTACCTATTCGAAAGAAGCGGTCGTAAAATTAAAGAATTAAATAAGATAAAAATAAAAAGAAGTACACATACGCACAGACCTATAAATTAATAAAAAGGCCATTATTAGGTTCATTAAAATTGCCTTTCAACTTAACAAAAGGATTCCTTAGCTTGTCACAAATACCGGTGGCTTTTCTGTTTGTTTGTGTTTCGTTACAGTTTTTTTTACCGTGGTTTGTGTTTTCAAACTGATCACACTTGAGGAACTATACCTCACCTGATTGTAACGTCATCACTGCGGTACAGTTAGACCAAGCTGAAGGTCCAATCTTAGTATAGCCTTGCACTCTAATGCAGTAGCTTGTGTATGGCTTTAGTCCTTCAATAACTGTACTTGTTTCAGTTGTATTGAGGCTTAACTGTGTAGGTTGAGCTTTCACATTGTATGCCACTATGTAACCTAGTATGACACCATTTTGGTCTTTCTTGACAATATCATTCCATGTGACTCTGATAGTGTGAGCATTTTCAGCTGTAGTTTCTGCCTTATTGATGACCGGGGGAGCACTTGGAGCTGTTTAATAGAAAAAGAAACGATGGTATAGTCCACATGTACACGTACCTCTACAGTGTACATGTACATTGATCATTCACTGATCAAACAATCCAAGGATTAAGCTCACAAATGGACCAATGGTGGCAGCCGCTGGAGCATTTGTATGCTGACCTCCGAGATCACTGTTCAAGTGTAAAGTAAGTAACACAACATAACAAAACATTCAAAGTTAGAGGCCATACCATCTTCCAATGTTTTTGCATCAACTATGTCTGAGAGTTCTCCTGAAACAGAAGTTTCAGCAAATACTTGAACATAGTAGACTGTAAATTCTTCCAGATCAAGTAGTTCATAACTGAGTGCAGTGGGAGAATTCCTCCTTTCATTCAAATTGCTCCTTTCTGTTCCATACGTCACTGCATAATGCCGGAGATTTCCATTCATTTTTAGTGGTCGTTCCCACTTCACCAAGATTGATTTTGATGAAAGCACATTGAGTTCCAAGTTCCTAACGGGGGACGGAGCTGCAAGATTTACAAAAGAAAACAGAATTTTTAAGTACTGCATAGTTTAATCAGTATATAATTATTACCACTGGTCCATCCTGTCCTTTGAATACCATACAACATGCACCAAAAAGCAGAAAAACGAACTGCTCTATCTCAGGTTTATTGCACTGTAAAAACTGACCAGTTATAGTGACCTCAAAAAAATGGTTAAGGTTTGAATCCCAGGTAACCGTATTTTATTAGGTTACAGTAACCAAAAAAATATAGTTCAGGTTAACCATTTTTTATTCCCGTTGAAATAACTTTTCTTTATGGGTTACATTAACCCTTAAAAATGGTTGTTTCTACCACAGCCCACGCCACTTCTTATGACTTGTTTGTCATAACCTCTACTTTTTGGTTAAACTAACTTTAAATTTTTAGTTGTTATAACCGAAATAAAAAGATAAATATGTTTCAACCCATACAGATAAGTTATAATAACCATTTTTTGTGGTCATGGTAAACCAGATTTTTGGGTACTAGCGATGAATCTGTGGTAACCCATTTAAAATAGTCAAGAGGTGGTAGCTTTAACCATTCCATATGGGTTAGAAGAAAACGGTCGTTTTAACTGATAGTAATGAATTACATTAACCTCACAATAATAGTCTTCAGCAACATTTTTAATGGTTATGTTAACCGTTCTCTACAAACAACATAGTTGACCACCACTAACTTCATAAAAAAGGTAATCATACAACATTGCAAGTAAAAAATGCTTATGTTTCTTAATGCAAGTATTTAAAGCAGAACAAGGAATGATTTAACAATCAGCCCTGCTTCCTAAACTATAGCAAATTTGAACTGGAATACGGCATGTCTCTCACAAGACTGCAAAACAAGACTTTGTACACAGGCATATGATTGTAAAACAGAAACATCCTTAAGCAGAAAAAATTCAAGTAACTCCAGGATCAATAGTGATACAGTACTTAGATTAAATTAAACCCTTAAGGTATAAGTGCCTTTCCTGCCAAAACTGCTTTGTCAAATACATAGGGAATTAAGAATTTCGTGAGATTCAATGATATAATAATTGTAAGATCTTGCCAGTGAAGAGTCAACTCCTCACCCACTGTACATGTGACTTTCTTTCTTTGGCTAATGATTGAAGCGGAGCATATGATCTAAAAGTACCAGTGCCCTTCATTGTTCTTCAAGCCACGTTTTTCTACTAGAAAGCAAAAAAAGATCCTATTCCAAGCAGTGGCTCGTTGAGGGTAACTCATCCGCCGGATCAGGACTTGTCTTGCTTGTAATGAAAATATGGGTACTCGCCGAGCTTCATTCAAAGTTGTTTATTCCCTCAGTCATTCAAATTTGGTGATATTTCTGAAATAAACGAAAATATTTCGTTTATGTTCACTGGTTAACGCACGAAAAATTGCAGTCTTTCAGCGATACGCCTGTGGGGAACACGCACGCACGCGTGTGCGTGGTCATCGTGAGCAACGCGCGACTCAAAGCTACATTTAAAAAAAAAGCTTTGTAATAGCGTATGATAGCTCTGTAACAGCAGTACAATATTGCAGTTAAGATGGTCATCCGAAGAACGGAAAATCTATGCAACTGTGCTGAACATTTAGAAAACTTTAAAGGGCCACGCGAGTGCGTGGGGTTGTCTCAAAACGCGTCTATTTATTTGCAAAAAGATAATTTTAAAAACGATTTAGAGTTCTGTTTAAAAATAAGCAATACATACCGGTCATGCTGTTTCAGTGAAGGTCGGTGAAGCAAGTCTTCGAGATTTTGCCTGTGTTCATTTGTCTTTAGTCGACGGGGCAGATATTTTGCTTATCTATTTCAGGCGGTCAACTGAAGTAAATTCTGTCATGATCTTCTTATCATCCTCCTTTGAATAAAAGATTTGCAAGATATTTGTTAGCTGAGAATTTTGTAGAAGCAGTAAAGACTGAAATTCAAGTGAGTAATCTATTCTGAAGACGTTGTCTTCCGACTACACTGTGAGCAGAGTCTCCTTCGATCTTCCTAGATAAGTCGACTAGCACGGTATCTTCGGACTTGCATAAATTTGAAATCACATTACCTTTTTACTTGCCACATCTCCATTGCTGTTCGTGACTAAGAAACGAGCTCCCATTGACTTTTAACTGAAGGGCTTTATCCAGGCGAAATATAAAATGTTTCTTTTCGCAGCAATGAACCAAGAGTACTGACTTCAGCTTGGCGCAAGGCGGTTAAACTAAAAAACTGAACTATGAGAGCCGAATTTGGCATTGATTTTGAAATTCCAAGTCTCTCATTGGCTAGCAAGTAGATTATCGTCAAGGTGTTAAGTAACATACTACAGTTGACAGGAAACAATGCAACATTTTCTGAAAACCCTTAGTTGTTTTTCGAGTAAACTCGCCTCACATGTTTCCAACCATGAAATAGTTTAAGCTTATAAAAAGGTTACTGAGTAAGATTTTTAATTTACTGAGAACATTTAACGCCATTTAGGGTTCGTGACGTGACGAAATATAGTGACTTTAGGTCACTTAAGACAAATACCGGAAACCCGCTGGAATTTTGTGACCGGTGAAAAACACGAAAGTATTTTATGAAAATACGCGAGGATAGCTGTTGGCTTTTCGAGGTGCTCAGCATTGATTTGAATGACATAACCTTGAAGAATCATTTCACCTAGATGACGATAATTTCTCTCGGCTAGCCCGTCGAGGGAAACGTCAGACAAAAAAATAGTCCTCGCGTCACGCGACTTCGCCTCTCGCGCGCGCGTACCAGCCCAGTTCATTGAAGCAAGACTCGCGAGTTGGATGCAAGTCATTTAAAATATTTTAACTGTTGAGGAAAGTTGATTTGGCTATTCAGTCTTAACCTATCCTAAATCCCATAATAAATGCTGATTATTTGTTCTTTCTTCAGCGTAAGGGAAAAGTCTGCGTTGAAGGTTGGGTACAAGGCTTTTACGATCTGTTGTTGTAAACGTAACTCATACCCGCCGTTTGTGTAGCCATTTTCTTCTGTGGTTTTTCGTTCAGTTTAACCCCTCGGAAAACTCAGTTTTGACCATTCAGTGTTTAACCTACTTCATAGCTCTAAATAACAGATCATTATTGGTTAGTCATGACTAACAAATAGTTAATAGGAGATTTTAACCAACTGATTTCAGGTTAGATGCACATTTTTACCATTTGCTTAACCATTTGGTTTCGTTATTTTGACTGCCATGAAAAGTTATTTTGACCAGTCGATATTCTAACGGAATTATAACCGTCACAACAACTGCTGATCATCGGTTAATCTAACCAATAACATAAAGGTTACGATTTTAACTATTTTATTTTGGGTTAAAATTACCTTTTGCAACTGGTTATAACCTTTTAATATAGTTACCATAACTGGTCTGTTTTTACAGTGTGCCCTCGAAGGGATTTCGGCCAGAGGGCGAAATCCTGAGGATGCATGCTAGCAGCTTGCGCAAAAAACGTCATCAACTTACATGCGTCAATTCAGTCATCGCCGAAAATAAGCCGCATGCTCATCAAAAGTCACATTTGCATACAATGAAAGTCGTCACCATTCTGATTCCCAGTTCCCACAGTCTCCGATAGGAACGCCTAGGAGCATGGCCTCCAAATTGGTGCCCACGAAAAAAAATTTCAAAAAAAAGAGCCTCGCTCTGCTTAAGCAAGCTCGACTAATGAGCGAGGATGCTGACATCAATGTTGGGATTTCAAAGAGCGATATGGTTCTCTAGACGGCCTAGGCGTATCAATTGATGGGGTAGATATCCCGCTATTTTTCAACTTTCTTGATATTTTCGCGGAAAGCATATCAGTTTTGTTGAGATTGTTACAGTAAATATGATAATAAACGCCGCCTATCTATTAAACGCCCCCTCTTGGACCCCTAAAAAGAAACAGACGCCCTAGGCATTTATTACAATGTAGGTCATTTACGGTAAGCACTTAAAGGATTTTCGAGACACGAGTTTAATATATAGATTTAGCCAGGGCTAAAAGCGAAGCCTCGATAATATTCATGGTTTGCTCAAACAGAATATAAAATCGCGTAATGCTGAGCGGCGAAGGCAACGAGAACGGTGAAAAAACGATAATTGGTCCAACTAGCAAAAAAGAAACTTTGCACGTGCAGCCCATTTTTTGTACATTTCTTTGCCCTTGTTTTGCACGACTACAACGTAAAACTTCCAGAAACTTGCTAGTTACACGTTTTGTGGACGAAATACACGTTTTATGGACGGAATGTCGAATGTCGTACGTCAGGTGTTCTTGTTCACTTTTTTCTTCACTCCCGCTCATTTCCACCTTAGTGGCCGCTAGTTGTCTCTGCTCATTTTCTCACCGGCGCTATGTTCAAGTTGTTCTTCCAACAAAAAAATGACTCCTTGGCTTTTTTTCTCTCGCGCTAGCTCTCTGTCGCTCTTCTTCTCGTTAAGCTTCGCCGGCTTGTCGCCTACTTTCTCTTTTTCTCTGTCTTTCTCTTTCTCAACATTTCCATATTTGTGGACATGACAATTAATTTAAGCTTAATACTTTAGACAACACGGATACAGAAACAATTTCCGCTTTCCGTTTTCGTCTTTATTGACTCTTTAGTTGTCTCTGCTTCACAAGACGAGGGTGGCTATGCGATTTCTCGCCAAAATAACTGCGAGTTGCATTTGAGTTGCCATACCTGTTGATTGAGTTATTTTACATTGGTATTTCTGTGGTGCTGACGGACGGCGCGCGGGAAGACGGGCGTAAGGTCACGTGATTACAAAAATAATTTCTCGGGTGGATAGATTACCACATTTTCTTAGGTATGGGGCTACGTTCGGGCGCGCTTCGCGCGCGCGTGGAGTTTCGCTTTAATTCAAAAAGCTTTGATTGCAAACGATTTAAACAAACAAACAAACAAGTTTTCCTAAGCGAACGAGTAAATCAAGCTACAATGTAGTTTTCATCAGCAGGAACGATATATACCCTGGGAGCAGAGGCT